GACGTCAGATGTCACTGTGTATTCACGTCGTATGTCTTACGTCAGTTTTTGGTTTTGACCGAACACGAGATGGCGAGCAAATTTGAAATTGAGGACGGCGCAGGGCTGCACGATTTGGGGAAAATATCGAATCGCGATTTTTCTGACAGAAATTGCGATTTGATTTGCGATTTAATTTTTTTTATGTCAAGCTTCAGTTCAATATTCAGTGTGTAGTAATTTTAAAACATATGACGCAGCATGAGATACCATCAGTATTAACTGGTCTATATTCTAATGCAAGAATGAGAATTTAAAGATGTGATGTGATTTTTTTTTTTGGCCTGAAATTCAGTAAAATGTCACCAGTTGTCCCCCTTAATCGGCAGTTTACTCCATGCGTTAGCACCTGCTTCCCAGTCTGGCCGTCCGGTCGTCCGGCTGGTGGGCTGCTCGGCTGCTGTGGGGTCCGGGGTGGTCTTCTTGTCCCCACACCAGAGGAAAAAAAGGGATCCATCTCCGGGGTCTGGTGGCGGATTGGCCCTCTGGGGGCGGTGGTGCCTGGAGTATAGAGTATATATGGGGAGTGTGAATGTGTGTACAGCGTTCATTTCTGTGTGTCTCCAGGTTGGGCAAATGGGCGAATATTTGTTCATGTGTGCGCCTCTTTGTCTATACGTATGTGTCAGGTTGGGTCTTAGACTCCACCTGAAATAATATCTCGGTCTCTATTCCCCCCCGCCTCCCTGCCGGTGGATGAGGCCCCCGGCTGCCGATGCGTTGGTGGTTCTCGATGTCCGGGGCTGGATGCTCTGGTGTGTGCTGTCTCACTCTCGACGGTTGCCTGGCGGGGCCTGGCCCTCCCGGCTCTGTCGGACCCCTCCTGGGGGGTGGGGGGGCCCTTGGATCTCTGGGCCCGGGGCCCGGTCTGCCCTGGTGTGGCCGGCTGCCGGCGGGGCCTGCGTGCTCGCTGCCACGGCCCCCTGGAGCTCCTGTGATGTGGCTGCCGGATGGCCCCCCTCCGGAGCGCTCCTCTGCCCTTTTCTGGGTGGGGGCTGCAATTGTCCCTGCAGTGGTCCTCCTGGGGTTCCCGTGCCCTGGGGGGCCTCTGGATGTCTGGGGCCCGGGTCTCCTCCGTGTCGACTTCATGTCCTGGGGGGGCGGGGCTGTGGCTCCCCACACACACTACTAGACATTTACATGGAGAAACCTTATGAACACCAGCGCGCTGACACACACAGGTGTGCGGACAGGTGCTCACGGATGCACGCTGTCTTCATCGGCTGTTGCTTCTGGGCATGTGTTGTAATGCTGGTTGTGTGTGCTGTTCAACAACATTTAACGTTTGATGTTCGTTGTGATTCATACAGATGTTGGTTGTTATTTTCTCTCTTCAGCAGACATTGAAGCAGATTATCTGTTTTTTTTTTTCTTTTTTTCTCTCTCTCTCCCTCCCTCTCCTTCTCTTGAGGAAGTAAATAAAAATAAATAAAGCAGTCCTCCGCAGAGGGGTGGTGGTGGAGGGAGTATTTAAAAAAAAAAAAAAAAAAAAAACACCTGCTTCCCAGTCTGTAACTGTCGGCCGTGTCTCACGCAGGAATCTGCTGCATAGACGAGTTTGACAAGATGGGCAGTCAACACCAAGCCTTGCTTGAGGCCATGGAGCAGCAGAGTATCAGCCTGGCCAAGGCCGGCATCGTGTGCTCCCTCCCGGCTCGCACCTCCATCGTCGCGGCGGCCAACCCGGTGGGGGGCCACTACAACAAGGGAAAGACCGTCTCGGAGAACCTAAAGTATGCCCCGCCCCTTTGAGGGCTCGGTGCCACTCTGCGATTGGCTGCAGCAGTGTTCAGTGAGAGCACATGCTTTATTGTTGCAGTAATGTTAGCAGGGAATCTTTTCCTGCACATTTACAGATTTTACTGCTTTGGAGGAAAAGCCCCTTGATGCACACTGATGTTCTTGTGGAATGGAATCCCGCTCACTCCGATGTGTTAAACCCAGCAATCAAATCTAAAATCATCTCAACCTTAAAACAATTATCAAAATATTTTTGTTGGGATTGTAAAAGTTGAATTGTCATAATCATGTCTGATGTAGCATGTCCTATTTTCTGATTTTTAGATGGCAACACTGTATTTTATTATTTTTTCTTTTCCTCAGGATGGGGAGTGCCCTTCTGTCAAGGTTTGACCTGGTCTTCATCCTACTCGATACCCCCAATGAGGACTATGACCACATGGTCTCGGACCACGTGATTGCCATGCGCTCGGGGAAAACTGTGGTCCGAGCTGGTGCCACAGTCAGCCACACTGACACGCGAGAGTCCGAAATTTCCATACTGGAGGCGGTCGGAGACAAACCCATATCAGAAAGTCTAAAGGTAGAGATTTTTCACAGGCTTTCAAGCACATGGGATTTGTATATTTATTTAGAATTTCATATGTTAAATTAGCTTTAATTTCAGTCAATTTGTGGGTATTAATAACTATGATTAATCACTTTTGCATGTTTGCTTATTCATTAATTTTGCCAGATTGGTATGAATGGGATTTCTTGAAGCTAATTGTATGATTTTAATTAAAGTCGACATATTTATCGGAAGTATGGCATGGTGCAGTAGTAGGTCGCTCTGTCACTTCACACCTCCACAAGATGGGATGTTCTCCTCATGTCATGTAGGTTTCCTGCTACACCTGGTTGCTCACACAGTCTACAAACATGTGATTAGGCGAACCAGTGTCTCTGAATTGCTCATGATGTGTTACTGTGTGTGTCCCTGCATGTGATGGACTGGCACCCCATTCCGGGTTCCCCCTGCCTTCTACCTCGAAGGGTAGACCTTGGGCTCACAGTGATCCTTTACTGAAAAATTGGTCAAGGAAACCAGATGGATATTTATCTGATTTCCTGTAACACTTTAATCATAGGTTGGTCCCAGAGAGAGTTTGGACCTAATCCCTCACCAGCTCCTGAGGAAGTACATTGGGTATGCTAGGCACTACGTTCACCCCAAGCTGTCTGCGGAAGCTGCGCAGGTACTTCAAGACTTCTACCTTGAGTTGCGCAGACAGAACCAGTCTGCAGACAGCACACCCATCACCACGCGGCAGTTGGAATCGCTCATACGGCTGACGGAGGTAGAGTATGTGGGGTAAAGACACTGGTGCTTGGATTCTTAAGTAAATAAGTAACAAAACTAGATAGAGACCAGCTTGACTACAGTTTGGTTGCTGCTGTGTCCAGATACCTACTATAGCAGGGTTCTTCAAATCTGGACTTCGATTCCAAATCCAGGCCTTGTTTTCAGTTCTCCCAGGTAGTTAGTTTAATAATTACTGATTCTGATTGGTCAGAGGCTTCACACCTGACTGACGGGTAGTGCTCGGACCTCGAGGACCGTGATTTGAATAACCCTGTACTATAGTGAAACTGAGAGCTGTTATCTTTTGATATGATGTAAAAGATGCTTTTTTTTCAACCAGTTATCATAACGTCATGTTTCTGATCACTATTACTGTTTCTCGAAACACATATTGTGCTTTTTATTTTTATATTTTGTACTTATTTGCTTAAATATATATTTTTGTTAAATGTAACGCATTTCTTCTGCCCGTCGTGTAGGCCAGAGCAAGACTAGAACTGCGAGAGGTAGCCACTAAAAGTGATGCAGAAGATGTTGTGGAGATAATGAAGCACAGGTAGGGACTGAATCAGCGATAAACTGAATGCATAGTTAATATTGAAGTTTATTTACTGTACACACAATTTAATATTACTTCTCATATAGGGTTTTTGCGACCAAGGTAGGATTAACATAAACTGTCACTTTGTATAGCACAGATTTTACACGATGATGCCATTTAGTACCTCCGTTGTCCTATCATTTCTAGATATTAAAAATCAGTGTTGCTCAAATTCATAAGTATTTTTAAATAAAGACACTGTTTTAGGTAATGCCTATTTAAAGTCATAACTCTACACTTAAATTCACATTTATGTCACATAACGGCCTTTCTGTTTTGATAATAGCACTAATTTTCTGTCTAATCTCTCAGCTTACTGGACACCTATTCGGATGAATTCGGTAGAATCGATTTCGATCGTTCTCAGCTGGGATCTGGAATGAGCAACAGGTCCCAGAAGAAGAAATTTGTGGCTGCTCTGAACAGGATGGCCGAGCGCACTTACAAAACAGTGTTTGAATACCAGCAGCTGCGGCAACTAGCCATGGAGTTAAACATACAGGTGGGATCACAGACTGGCAATCTCGGGTTTGTTATGTGTACTATGTAATATCATTAATATACCGAATGACTACACTCTCAGTGCAGATGTGTCCTAAACCAGAAGCATTTCTTTGATATTTGACATACAAGTGAATTTGACATGAAATAAGCCAAGATGTAGTTCAGACTCTGTTGCAGTAGGTTGTGCATTTAAGTTGTTTATATTTCAGGTAGCTGATTTTGAAGGTTTTATCAGTGGCCTGAACGAACAGGGCTACCTCCTGAAAAAGGGACCGAAGACGTACCAGCTCCAGACAGTTTGAATAAGAATGATTCAAATGATTGTTCTGTTTTTATGGTATTTCAACTATAAAAATGTAACATATACTATTGACATTGTAAAGGTTCTCTTTGTTGACACTGTGGTTAAGATACAAAATAGCATGCCTGAATTTAATGTATATGTATTTTTTTAACTTACTGTGAAGTTACATTTGTTTGCTACATATTATATTGTTACTTTGACTAAAAAAAAAAGATTATAAAATAAACTGAATGCTGGGTTTGATTAAAATATGACCTTTGCCCTGTGCTTTCTGGGATGATCGGGTGTTTAACAAAATCATTTATGATACTGTTGATAAAGATGCTTGCGTTATTCCTAATAATGCCATTTTACACTTTTAGATTAAAATATCAGCTAATAAGCAGCATCGGTTGCAAATAACACTAGTAGAAAAATTTAACCATATCACACGTGACTTCCTGTCTGAACGCCCCGTGCTACGTCACCAAAAGCAAGAACCCGCTATCGGACCGCTGCCAGATGCTGAGTGTGCTGTTTCATCAGATTCAGTATATTTTCGCTTGCTTTACAACTTCACTAAAACATTTGTCTTAAGAGGAACAAAAAAATGTTTCTATTTCATATTCAACATCAAAATGGCGAATTCCGTTTCATCCACCACATATCGTAAAACATACCAGCATTTAAAAGGACTTCGGGGCGAAGTGGAAACTGGTTAAATATTAACGGAGATAAAAGCTACACATGGCTCGAAGCTTGGACCTTGTAACCAATAGAAACGCCTGCCTTTTATCCTGTCGTAAAGTTACTGTCAAACCGGAATACGGCACGGTGGCACATGTAAAGTGGAGCTGTGTGTTTCGGACTTGGAAAGAAGAAATGTGATATAAAATAAGACAAATGTTCCCGATCGCTGGACGTTTTGGGGAAGTCGAAGGCTGTATTTTTAGTTAATTCCAAATGCTTACTGAGTGATTTTTCAATCTGAGATGTTCCTGGCGGTTTATAGAAATATCTTAGTAACTTGTGCGAAACGGCAAGTGTTGAGCTTTGCAAAGAGTTGTATCGCAGCTGGTCAGACGAGGGCTGCTCCGAGCTCGTGCGTTTGGAGGAATGCATTAACATCTTGGGGACATAAAATGTCACAGAAGTGTCTCTGGAGCGAGAAGAAATTTCTCCAGAGAGTGAAAGTGACGCTTTCTTCTTTGGGGGAGTGGCCCAGCCTGGGGAATTTTCCGTCGGATAAACTACATGGTCATGTATCAACTTATAGAACTGCCTTTCCTGAACCTTGGGGTGGTCGACAAATGCCTGCTTTTTCATTGGGTGCCCAACTAACAAACCAGGGAAGCTGTCAGATACAGAAAAGGACACATCCTTACAGTCCAGCTGTAAACAGTTCGGCAATCTCCATGTTAAACCCTAAGCCCCTTATGCAGAGCGTCTCCCATTTCAGCATAACCGGAAGTTCATTCGTACTTCAGGGTTACAGGGGGTACAGTAACTCTGCAAAGCCCAAACCTCAGGGCGATGAAGGCTCTTTACAAAGGGATACGTCAAAGGAGCGTGACTTTACAAAGCCATCAAAAGAAGGGTTGTCAAATTTTAAAGAACTGGTAAGCGTCCTGGACAGAACTCCATATTAACTTTAAAAAAAATACGTTTAAGTCCCGTCTCTTTAAAATTAAACATCAGTGTATGGTAACTTTGTTACTGGACATTAATATGAACTTGCTTAGCTTAACTAGCAGTGGTGAGCAATGTTTTTTTTTTTTTATATGATTCAATAACCAATTAAGGAAAAGTAAATGGATATTTTCTAAATATATTCTGAGATTGGTCATTTTTGATAGTAACATGAGAAACTGTTTAACTGTTTTAGTATGAAAATCCATGGACCATACCAAATTTCCTGTGCATGGCCAGAATTGCTCTGGCCCCAGTCCTGGGATACTTGATTGTGGAACAGTGGTTTCATCTCTCTCTTGGCCTCTTTGTTTTAGCTGGAGCAACAGATTTGGTAGGTTATTTTTAATTTATTCAATGATTAAAAATGTAAAATAGTATTGGCACTTGGTTAATTTTAAGATCCGTCTTCCAGCTAATTATCCTGGATAGGGTGACTATTTTTACGATCCTGAACAGACTTATTTAATGAATATTACATCTAACCACTTGCATACCACCAATCAGTCTTCATGGCCTTAATTTTTTATGTATGTATTTAAATTGTAAATTAAAGTACTTGTATATTAAATTGATCATATTTTAAATGGATTCTGTTTACAGCTGGATGGGTACATTGCTCGCAACTGGGCCAATCAGAAATCAGCTCTGGGGAGTGCTCTCGACCCATTGGCTGATAAAATACTCATCAGTGTGCTATATATAAGTTTGACTTATGCCAGTCTTATCCCAGGTAAGCAAAATCAGCAGGACATAGTTGCAGTGGACTGGAGTGTTGGCATTTTGGCATCAAATTTCATATCCCTGGAATTGTGAAATTGTTGAAGTCTTTATATGCAACTTTCCCTGTACTAGTGGCTAATCTTAACCTCATTAACAAACCCCAATACACTCAATCTTGCTAGTGTGTTTTCTTATGTTTTATTTTAATAAATATTTGCAGCATTACTCACTTATGCAATCACATTGCCAGCAAATGTAATGTCATTAGATAGTGGCCTGCCAATCCTGAATTATTTGACTGTCTTTATGTTCTTAGTAAAGTTTTAAGTATGTTTTGAATACTGAGGATTTCACTATAAGGAGAGTCTCCAAATGTTTGCCCCAGTACCTGTGCTGGATTTCTGTGAGTCATTGTCTCTCTCACTAAGTTGTGTTTTTAATAGTGAGCTTTGTCTCTCTCAGCTCCTCTTACGGTGTTGGTGATCTCCAGAGATGTGGTCTTGATTGCTGCGGTTTTCTATGTTCGCTACAAAACGATTCCCCCTCCGGCAAGTACACTGGTCGCCTGAATGTGTGCAGTGACATGTCTGTCCGATTACACTTAACCTGGAGATCTGGTAGTGGTGATATCTACGTAGATACAAGCATGAACTCTGTGCCATTTTGGCTTCCAGCACAGACTTTGGTGTTTCTGTACCAATGAGAAGGTTAACCACCTCCTTTCTTCTCTGTTCACCCACAGCGGACGCTCAGCAAATTCTTCAATCCCTGCTATGCTACAGCTCAGCTTAAACCAACGTCCATCAGCAAGGTACCTTGCACATTTTTTGCACTGTGCCTTTTCTGTTCCATTATAACATTTTCCACTGATTTACTACAATAAAATACCATTGGGTTTTCAACTTGTTCCACTTTTGATATAATAGTTAATTTAAAAGTCTTTATTAGATACATTCTAATGCTGATTGTGAGATATAAATTAGTCTTAATATGGGTCCCAAAATCTGTAGGAGGTACATGCAGGCAAGTCAATTGTTCTACTTTTGGTAGGTGATCTAGGGATGAAAGTTACCAGTTTCATGGTGAACCACGGTAAAACTAAATACCATCCAGCATCAACCAAATTTGATGCTGGATGGACTGTGATTGTTTTTTCCTGGCTGTCACATGCTGTGTAACATTTTAGGAGACCTCTTGAAATAAATTATGAGCGGACACTTAGGTCTGAAGGAAAGTTGTCAATGTCCTTTATTCTTAAGTGTAAAAGTAGGACTGAATTGCGTTATTGGGAGTTGATAAGTACTTACACTGCTTTGAATATGGGTCCTGATCCTGAATTTAACTATTAAGCTCTTAAAGGGATTTTTTGTGTGATTTTAAAGGTGAACACTGCAATCCAGCTTATACTTGTGGCGGCATCACTGGCTGCCCCGGTATTCCAGTACACGGACAGTGTGTTTCTTCAGACCCTCTGGTAAGCATGTCCACAATTGCACACTTGAATATTCAAGTCCTCTGATGATCCGAAATGCAGGAAATCTTGAGTTGAGTGTTTTATGTACTCTGTAGTTTCTAAATCAGTATTTTTAAGGAAGCTTAAAGTGGCATTTTTCTGTTTTCATAATATAAATTCCAATGGTATATTGACTCAGGTGTTGATTTTAAAAGCGTCAGGTAGTGTGGGCTGTGCATTGTCCTAGTAGCTTGTGCTGTAACTTCACCCATAACAGTGTGGTGGGTTTCATTCCCGTCTCAGCTTCTGTATATATGGAGTTTCTGCCCATATTTGCATGCATTTCAGCCTGCAGTCCAGATTAGGTGAATCGGTGTCTCATGAGTTTTCCTTAGTGTGTGTTTGTATGCTAAAAGTAGTTCTTAGAATCCAGAACCCTGTACTAGGTACACAGATGGAGTTACAATGCAGGGCAGTTGTAATGACCGTGTGTCCGACAAGCAAGCAGGGAGCAGGGAATCCGGGTCAGGCAGACGGAAATCCAGAACACAGGGTTTATTTGCAGGTGAGGCACAAAGACGCAGTACAAACTTCAATGACAGGACTGGGGAAACATACTTGAACGCGGACTTAAATACACATGACTATTTGGAAATAACGAGAAACAGCTGATGACATCGGGATTTCACACGAGGTTAATGAGGGGGGCGTGGCACACAGGAGGATCGGACGATCGGGCATGACAGCAGTAATTGCTCAGGCAATCACAGTGAGTTATATATCCAGAGGTGTTGAGATTTATTTCTCTTTGTTGTTCCATTTACAGGTTTATAACTGCACTGACAACTGCGGCATCTGGTTACAGTTACTACCATTATGGGAAAAAGACTGTAGAGGTCTTAAACAAGTCAAAGTGATTTTTCCATAAGAACAGAGGATTATTTGGAGGTGGTGTTTAGAAAATCGTGTTGTAATGACAGCCTGGAAACTACTATGAAGAACCAGACTGAATTTCTACATCTGCTGTGTGGGAACTGATCCTATGAATTTTAGAAGGGAAGGGCTTCTTTTGTCGTATTATTTAATATGATCTTAAATTGAGAGGACATTTTCTCATTGAATCACATGTAAATGCCTTGTATACAAATAAAAAACAAAATCTGTGTTGTGTTTTTTAAGTTTGTCTTAAGTGATCATATAAACACACACGATGCACCAACAGACTTCTTAAAATTAGTGAAACTCACAATGATTCATTATTTCTGTAAAAACTTTTTTAGTCAAAAGCATTTACAGTGGGTATTACAGACATGTATGACTATGTGGGTCTAACTGAGTTAAAATGCCCCCTTATCAAATGTCCCCTCTGATTCTGCTTTTCTTATGATAAGTCACGTGTTGGGCTCAAGTGTCAGAACTCCAAGCGTGAGTTGTTCACAGAGACACAATGTTTAAACCAGTTACAGTTAACATTGTTAATCCATAATGCCTAGTTTGTGTTGGGGAAGCCAGACCAATTTCAAATTAACCAATCTGTTTTGAAATTCAAGAAAAATAAATTACTGTTCTGTACTATTGACATCATGTACAATACTTCACTTTGCTGTAGGTTTTCAAGGATAACCCGCTTAACAGACCTTGGCCTGTATCTTAACATTAATGGATGAGCCCATTCTATATTGTGGGTATTGATACGTTCAGGGATGATAATCAAACTGGATACATTAATACATTTACATTTTAACATTTTTACATTTTTATAATGGAGCCCTAACCTGTACCCTAAACTTCCTGACATAAACTTCATGCTGAGTGCGATCCTGTACTGAATAAGCAATATGGGAAACCAGATAATTATGCTTTACCTAATGCAAAAGAAATTAAAATTAATGCTTTAGTAAGGAACAATGGGTTTGAACCCATTTCGACAGACCAATCAGGGTTTTTTAAATTACAGTTTTGAGAAAGGTATGAATAGTTTCAGGAAATGTAAACAATTGTGAAATCCTGTTAAAAATAAAACAAACCTGGTGCAATAGATAGATAGAGATACTTTATTTATCCATAAGGAAAGTTAGGTACAAATACAAGCGTTAAAAAAGCAGTCAAGGCAATCACAATCAATAAAGCACTTTTAAGTAAACGCGCTTCTCGAGTAACTTTTTGAACACACGACACAACAGAAAGAATGGCCAACGTAACAGTGAATTAAATGGTAGGAGGTTCCCCCAGTTTTCAGGCGTGACGCAGCCGGCCTGCCACATTCTCCCGAATGCCCCGCTTATCTCCGAAAAGGAGGTTACATTAGGCAGTTCAATACACAGCGTCATTTACGTTTACATGTGTGAGGGCTACGCCATGCTCCCCCGTGCATTGAAACATGCGCGCAACCTTTGATTGATCCCAGCGCCGAGGGGAGTGCGCGCTTCCCGCCGTAATGATCCAAGACAGGCTACCCCCGAAAATCTCACCTTGGCAGCTATTAAGATAAGGCTGCGCCTAAAACATTTAGCTTGGTGATATTCACGTTACATTTCAGAACGATCGAATGCCTGGAGATGTTGCATTTTTGTCTGATTAGTCTCAAATCTGACTAGCACCTGAAATTATTAAATATTTACCTTGCAAAGCCATATGCTACTTATGTGGTACATTTGGGATATGTAGTGAATATTGTTATTTAGTATTTGCCCACAATGCATTCGGTAGATTTTTTTTTTTGGAATACTTTCGTCTTCGCAGTATTTCTGCACCTTTAAATTCAATAGGCTACATTTTCAATTGACGTTTTACCACTATACCAAAAAGTAGGAAATAGTTACACGGGCTACATCAAACGTGCCCAAGATTTTGAGAACGGGCCAGTGGGATTTCTAGATCTCTACCACAATTTGGTCTGCTAACATGCTGTTCCTGTTTACTGTGGTAGGAATGCACGCCGAGTAGCACGTTATTTCCGTAAGAAACATAAATAACGCGGGTTGTAATTTACATGCTCCTAATATTTTCCATAAGAGTTCGCTCAAGTTCAACCTCCAGTTAATATATTCAGTAAATCAATAGGGATTCAACTGAAAGTTAAAAGTTGGAAATGGAGCCAGGACCCTCTGTTTGTGACAATGATAAAAATCACAGTCTTGCAACATGATTTTGTTGGTTGTTGATCCTAATTTGCACAGTGATGGACTGGCTTTAATTCCAGAGCCCTGCCTTGTGGCTTCGATTTCCTGGGATAGGTTCACCATGACCTTGGATAAGTGGATAAGGAAAATGGATGTAGCACATTAAGAGGCAAATCCTGCTTTATGAACCAATATGCAGTTTTAGGATATTAATACTGTGGTTTTAAAAAATGGAAGAATTTAGGTTCTGCGTTCCATATATTTATACAGCAGGGGTCTCCAACTCCGGTCCTTGAGAGCTACTATCCAGTATGTTTTCTATCCTACCTGGCTTCTGATGAACCAAGTTCTCAGGTAAATACCAGGACCAGGTGTGGCTCATCAGAAGCCAAGTGAGACAGAAAACCTACTGGATAGTAGCTCTCCAGGACCGGAGTTGGAGACCCCTGTTATACAGTTTATATGGCTGGTTTTATGGGTACTGATATTTGGTTTTAATTACATCTTCATATTTTACTATCAATATAATATGTTGATCCATATCTCCAATCTATTGTGGAGGACATTGTACTACAGCTGGCTTTCTTATTGATTTCCAATTAGGAACCATTATAGCTACCTGGCCTCACCATTCTGAGTTTCAAATTCTTAAGTTGTTCTTTTGATTATGTTGAAACATTCCAAAGTTTTCCTTCGCAGCCCATAACTACTTCATAGTTATTTCCTATCCTATTCCCATCAGTGGCTGTACTAGGAAAGACAGAACTGTGCTGTTTGAAACAACAGAGGGAAACATTGCACTAACATTTTACATTTTGGTTTGCAACCTTTTGTTGTTACATTTCAGCATCTTTATTAGCTAGCTCATAGTGAATCTACACTACTTTATTCCTGATTACATTAAACCTTCTATTAAGTAATTGATTTTTTTGTCAGACCCAACTATTTCAATGCAATTGCTAATAACTAAAAATAATTATTTTAAGGCTCTTTTGTTAGGCCAGAGAAAATTGTTATGCACAAGCTACTGGTTATGAAACTGCAGTCCATATTGTCACAAAGGTCTGTCAACATTCTCAGTCCAAGCTAAGTGTATATTTTTAGAAATTAGACCCAACCGACTAATGACTAAACTAAAGGACATTCTTTCATTGTAGCTCACTTTCAACACTAGGACAGCAATGACCGTTGACAAGTGTCCCACAGTGTTACTTTAAATCAAAAGACACAATGAAAAAACACGGGTCATTTCACACACACACCCCCCCCCCCCATCACTCTGAAAAAACCTGTATCTTGGGAAAAATGTTACTCTTTGCATGCTTAACCCAACCCGCAGAAGAGAACGACATGCCTGGGGCGACTACTTCTATCCTAACATCTCATCGGTCTCTAGAACCTTGTTGTTTCCGTTTGCCTGTTTTGAGATAAAAAAGAGAAATCTGGCAGGTGTCCAAACCTCCCCACCCCAGGCGACAAACACCTGCCTCTAATACCCCAAATAAGAAAGACGACAATGGAGAGACTTGGGAGAGAAAAGCAGTAACACAGCCACATCTCCAGGCTTTTCACGCCAGCATCTTCTGCTTCATGCTCTTCATGAAGTTGAGATGGTGTTTTCCCCCATGTTTGATTGAAACCTCTCTTAGCAGTAGTTTAAGAATGTTTAAAACTAGAAAAAAATATATTATATAAATTTTAGAATTTAATGATTTTATAATTCTTCCAAACATAATAATTGCCAAAAATAATAATAAAAGACAAACTAGGCAAAGCAACTCAGGGCGACACATACCTGTGCAAGTACAGTGTACAGTATTTACACATAAAACGTGCATGTATTTGCATTTTTAGAGAAAAAAGTGCTCAAAATTCTATACTTATATTGATGGGTCATTACAGGGTCTTCAAGGTCCCGAAGGAAAAAGTCATTACAGAGTGTTTTTTGATTACAAACTATGACATACTGTATATCTGGCAGTTCAGAATAAAGAAAGTTTAAATAACAAAGTTGTTGATTAATTCGTAATAAAAATCACTTAATACTTTGAGAATAAATAATATTTTTAAGTGAAAGACAGGTTCCTAGATCCCATGATCTGCATTCAAAAATCTGTAATTTGAAAATACAGAAATACATGTAAAATGGTAACAGTACACCACGAAAACGTGTACCGTTACAGCCATAGTAATGTGCAATATTTACAAAATATTCAGCTTGCCGTAACTTTAAATAGAATAATAGTTTTGTGACTTACATGTGTTATTTTTCATTATGAAATGAAAAATGACTTTTGTTACATTAGTAACATAATGAAAACTGAACAGGCTGCACATGCAGCAGTGGGTTGGGGTTGGGGTTGGGGTTGGGGGAGGTCTCGTGGTTCCCTGTTCACTACCCAGAAGGTATAACCAGGATCAATATCTTCTGCAGGGTGATACGATTGGTGTGTGGAGTTCAGTAGAAGAAAATAGTTAATTAAACTGCTCATTACAAAGTTTGTGGATTATTTTCGGTAACCGTGTCACGATTTCTGATGAGACATTGCTGTTGAATTTTTCAGATATACTTCTTTGCCGCTTTTACTACCAGGGAAAGATTCAGTCCCATTATTCCGACCTGACATTTCTATGGCCGATATCTTCAAAGCTATGCAGCTCCCAGCAGACCAACCTAGACGTATAGATACTAGCGCTGAAGCCCTTTCATCTTTTTCAGTTTTTGGGTAAACTGCCCCTTTAAAAGTCTGTAAACCTGGTGATGAAAGTTATTAAAATGACAGAAAATAAATAAACAAATAAATACGACATTCTGTTAGGTATTTTAAATATTTGAAATACATAAAATACAATCTCTCAAAGTATTTCGTTACAAATTACATCTGATTTTTTTACATTCAGGAAAAATACAAATTACAAAATACTCAAAAGTAATTATGTATTTTAACTACATTTAATTGAAAGACTGCCCATCTCTGCCTGCATTTACTATACCTCTGCTATATCTCAGTTTTTCAAGTGGCAACACAGTGTTCGAAGGCAGGGGGACTATAGGG